CTGCTAGTGCTGCTTTTCCTCGTGTACAGAAGGAGCCGAAAGAGCAGCCCGACACCCCAGCTCGGGAGGGAACTTACCCCGCCAGCATCGGCACTCACTCCCTCAGCCTCTAAAAAAAGCAGTATCTCCAATGCTGTCGCTGTTGCCATCCACACTACAGGTGGCAACAGTGGAAGAAAAGGCGGTGAACAACAGCAGCAACAGGGAGCAGGTAAGTTATCGTTCGTGAGGGACAATCAGCAAAAGTTCGAACTGCAGGATTTGATGAGGGCTTCCGCCGAGGTGTTGGGAAGCGGCGATTTCGGGGCTTCTTACAAAGCGGTGCTGGTGGATGGGGAGGCGCTTGTCGTCAAGAGGTTCAAGCAGATGAATAACGTGGCTAAGGAGGACTTTCATGAGCATATGAGGAGGCTCGCCAGGCTCAAGAACCCGAATCTCCTGCCCCTGGTTGCATACCTGTATCGCAAGGAAGAGAAGCTCCTGGTCTTTGATTACGTCAACAATGGAAGCCTGTCCGCACATCTTCACGGTTGGTATACACATGCATATATCTATATGGACAGTGGATAATTGAGAGAGAGAGAGAGAGAGAGAGAGAGAGAGAGAGAGAGAGACTTCACCTCATCAAAAAAATAAATAAAAAAAAGAAGTTGACTTTTAAAATTAGGGATATGGTCTGTGAAAGTAATTAGTAACTAGAAACTTAGTTTAGGAGATGGTTGATGTTGTGGTTGCAGGAAAACATTCGTCGGGGCTCAGTTGGGCAAGCAGGTTAAAGATCATAAAAGGAGTGGTCAAGGGGTTGAATTATCTACACACCGAGCTTCCCGCCCTGACCATACCTCATGGCCACCTCAAATCATCAAATGTGCTAATAGACAGCGACTTCAACCCCCAGTTGATGGACTACACTCTAGCGCCGGTGGTGAATCCCAACCAGGTCCATGAAATCCTGGTGGCATACAGATCTCCGGACTATGCCAAAACTGGCCGTGTATGCAAGAAAACCGACGTCTGGTGCTTGGGCATCTTGATACTGGAGACTCTCACGGGAAAGTTCGTTGCCAAGTACCTTTCCCAAGGTAGCGGGCAGTACAGTGCCGAATTAGCTGGATGGGTAAATGCTATTGTTGGTGAATCAAGTGCACAAGTTTGTGACAAGGAAATGGAAGTTAGTGCCGAAGGCAGGATTCAAATGGAGAGGCTTTTGCAGATTGGAATAGCATGCTGCCAAGAGGACCTGGACAAGAGGTTGGATTTGAAGGAGGCACTCAAACAGATTCAAGAAGTACAAGAGTCATGAACCTGATAAATAAATGGAAAAAAATGGGGAAAAATAGTTCAATACATAATCCTTTATAATCTTTGTATCCTTTCAACTTTTGACATCAAATTCTTTTTTCTTCTTTTTTTTTTTTTCTTTTTACTTCTTTTCTTCTGGAGTCGGTCATTATTCTGTACAAATTGAGTTCGATATTCTGTCATATTATCCATTGTCTGTAAAGTGAAATCATAGAACTAGATGTAACCTTTCGTTTCTAGCTCTGTGGCATTTTATTCACTACTGATGTTTTTGTCTGCAGAATAAATTTTATATGCATTTAGTTGATTTTTTTATCAATGCTTTTAAGTCCATATGTAGTGTATATATAAAGTGCATCAGATACAAGTCTGGTATACAAGGAAACGTGTTTTATTTGGAGATGCAGATTACTAACAAAAGGAAAACCAGTTAAACTAGCAGTCTATAAGAAATATAAATATTACCAACACCTGACATACCGAGTATCTTAACTGGCCTTACTAGAGTACACACAAATACCTGTTCATTGAAGATTTTTGGGACAATGAATAATTTGGTATACAGGATCAGCATAACATAACTTTTATACTTCACTAATAGAAGTGGATGATGGTACAAAAAAAATACAATTAGCAACCTTTCACACAACTAACCTTTCTACCAAGCGTAAAATCTTTTCAACCACAGAGATGGCTTTATTCAGTCAACAAGATGCATGAAATTACGAAAACGAGCAGCAGCATCATCCAAGCAGTTCACAAATGTATTAACAGAAAGATGGACGTGTTTTACGTGTCATCTTGAACAGAGCTTGGTGCATCTCGTCTTCCAGAAAGCCTCCCCAAACACGTCCCGTTGGTGCTTGAATGCTCGACCACCATGTAGAGACATAACAAACACAATCCTGCAGTGCAGTAGGGCGTGAATACTTTCAGTTAGTCCAAAACAAGTTTTCACTACGTGTGTATGTTCTTGAATAGATTGAAGAACATCCACATGAGAAGAAAAGGAACTGTAAACATCACACAACGTTGTTACCCACCGACATATGCAACAGTGACCCCTGAGACTGCTCTCCCAATGACAGAAAGCGCATAAAGACAGGAAACCACCTAAGTCCCACCAAAAATCACAAAATAACAAAAAAAAAAAAAGATTCAATTTTTTCTCAATAAATGACGCGGCAAAGGCAAAATCAATGAACCAATCGACGGGCTGACAATGAAATTTGAGACCTTGAGGAAGAGGCGTTTGTCATGGCCGGTGGCTGCGACGCGGAGAACAGACTCGGCGGCGCCGAGGGTGTTGGCGAGGCAGGCGAAGAGTGAGGCGGCGGCGTCCTGGGAGATCTGCCAGTGGAGCGGGTCAACGGGGACGGCGATGTTCATGTGGCGAAAAAGGAGGCCGAGGATAGCGAGCGAGCATAGGAGCACGATAAAGACGTCGGCCAGGAGGGAGACGATGCTCGAGTGGCGGTAGGCGCAGTGATAGTAAACCAGCGTGCCGCTCACCATCCCCATAACTGCCCCGACTGCTACCATCGCCGACTTCTTCTTCTTCTTCTTCTTCGTCCTCAGCTTTGATTCAATTGATCATAAATTCTCTGTAATTCGCCTCTCAGGAGGAGAAATATAACAAGATTCTGGAGTTCCGTCTGATTTTGGGCAAAATGGGTTGGTTCTGTTTTGTACAAATTCAATTTCGTATGGTTGACGACTTGTCACCGTCGAACCGGCAGCCCGAAACTCAACTGTTTCGGGCCGGATACCGCGTACGGGCCTGAACAAGTACGTGATTTTATTCGGACCGGTTAAAGTTCATAAAAAAAACATGGTTTCTTTTATTCGTCGGTTCTAGCAGTTCGAACTGATCCGGCCCGACGACCCATTTATTATTTATCTACTGTATAATTAGGCAATACACTTACTAAAAATAGTAAGGGTGTGATTATTTACATTTTCTACAGTAAATCCTCTCTATATATAATTCTCGAATGCGCTGAGCCTACGTGACTGTTCCTGGTGTTTCGGAATCCTACTTGGTGAAGAATCATGCTTCGTAATTAGGTTTGGACAAATAATATTGATATATTAATAATTAATGATTTAGGTTTGGACATTCCATAAATATTATTTAGCTAACTTAGGTATTTTAATATCACTTGTACTAATATAACCCTTTAATTCCTTGTAATTTTACATAGTGAAACACTGACTGACTAATATATCTCTGATTTTTTATTTGTTTCCCTCAATTAGCTATTGAATTGCAAATGTATTTTAAAAGTTGATAACTTTTATATTTCTTATCGGCTTTACATATATAATATATCAAATTAATCATCTTTTAATTATCTTCGATATGACATTCATATTGTATATATTGAAATAAATAAATTATATTTATAATAATAATAATAATAATAATAAATAATATATATATATAATATATTTTTATAAAAGGTACTTAAAATTTTAACTATTTTTTCTCATTAATTTTAAATTTTAAGAAAAAAATTAGCAAACACCCGTGTAATACACGGGAGTTGTACTAGTATCTCACTCAAAGCTCAAATTTAACTCAACTTTAACTCAATCCCACTATCTCCAATATTATCAATATAATTAAATAATATTAACCAATCATTATTACACATCACATCAACTTTAATTCACTATTCATCTACTCACATAATTTTAACTAATCATCACTTCTAATCATTTTCTTCTACTTTTACATCAAGTCAACTTTAATTATTTTAATTTAAATATTATTTTAATATATCCACTAACAATTAACAATACTACCTTTTCTCAAATTTAACTATAGTTAAAAAAA